TCAATCCCATCACAGGGGAGAAATACAATCAAAATTAATAAAAGGAAAAGAAATTGAAATACAGTGGAGGTGATTAAAAGATGCAAACCTTGTTTCTATTTCAAAGTCCACGAATAGATGTAATTGCACCATTTTGTTGTGGTCCTGCAATGCACACAGTCATCAGCTTCACCCAAGCAACTCTGTGTGCCAATTCAAATCCACCATGAACCAATCCATAAGCTCAAACATAGAACCCAATCATATGATAAACCATCACACAAAAAGGCTTAATTTTGGTCCAAAAGGGCAATTCGAGGATATGGTTCTTACTTGAAATGCTTTGGTGAGGTTGCAAAATCACCTTTTTCCTCATGCTCAAACCCTTCAACAACCAAAAAACAATGAAAGGAAATTTTCATTGTAATTCCAAGCACATGCAATAAAGTACAAAGGCACCAAATTTTCAATCCAACATAATTATAGAACAAAGACTCAAACTTTTGCCTTTATGTCCTTTGAGTTTCCACAGAAACCCAAGTGATTTCAATAAAAAGTACTAATGTTATTAAGTGGGTGACCTCAAACGCTCTTATAAGCATAATTATTGAACTCCTACCTACAAAACAACAGTAAAATGTTTTAAAATATGACATTTTCTATTTTTTTCTTGCATTTTCTTCGCAAACAAAAGGAGGGTAAGTAGGTTTCTACATATTTTATACAGTGTTAAATCCGATTTTTTGTTTGAATGATCTTATATCTTTACCTTCCAACTGAGAGATTGGTCGATCAGTTCAGAATATCAGCTCCCAATCATATTTCCTTTTAGATGCAAATATATATTAAGCTCCTAGGGTTCATTATCCACATGCTCAAATAGAGAGAGACAGAGAGATCTTGCCTGCTTAATAATTTTTTGGTTAAGGAATCATAATTCTGATCTTGTTTATAACATCTATTAGAATTATAATTCTCATCTGGAGTCATAAAAAATAAAAAAAATAAAAAAAAAGCAGGAGTGTATAACCACAGGCAAACAGAATATCAGCCACACAGACATCAATTACCAGATTGATGAGCAGACTGGGGGTTCTCATATTGATTACTCCAGTTCTTTTTCCTTAGATCTTCCTCCCTATAACAACAAACAAAATCTAGTGAGAGACCAAATCACAACCTTTTCATCCTTAACTATCAACAAATCATAACCTTTTTTTAACAAAATCTTGTGAGAGACGAAAGGAGAAAAGACCGTTTCAATATAGTCCAGATCCTAGCTCATAGCAATACCAGAACAGAGAAACAGATATGCAACATGCATGTGCTATTATTCAATTACAGAGAAAACAAAAATCAAAGGGGGTTTTTGCATTTGTGGAACAGATTAATTTGGGAAAAAATATAAAAATCTTTCAAACAATTAAAAATTTCTCCAATGATAATCCAAGATCAAAATCCAACAGGGATATAGCAAGAAGGCAAGGATTTACAGATTCAACATGATGTGCATGCAGATCTATGAACACGAAAAGCAAAGCCCAATCTAAAAAAGAGCTGATTCAGCTGAAAGGGCACCAGAAATTACAATAATTTCTGTCCCAAAATCAATTCTATGATCCTACATATTACCAGAAATTACAACAACACCAGAAGAAAAAAAAAAAAAAAAGTCAGATCAGAGAAATTACCTAGAGCAAGCCAATCGTTTCCTATGCTTCCAAAATCAATTATGTCCACCAAAAATCACAAGAGTCAGATTAGATAAATATAATTAACAAAAAATTGTAAAATCCCTAAATTTTTAGGGTTTACACATATACCTCAAACTGAGAGAGAGAGCGAGAGAGACTCAGAGAGAGCGGGTGAGAGAGAGAGAGTGACAGAGAAATCGGGTGAGAAAAATCTGTAAAGAGAAAGAGAGAGAGAGCGGGTGAGACAGAGAGAGAGAGTGAGTGACTGAGAAAGAGCGGCTGAGACAGAGAGAGTGACTGAGAGAGATTGAGTGATGAATCTGGATGAGTTTCACGGGCAGAGGTGAGAGTGATTGTGAGAGGCAGAGGTGAGACTCGAGAGGGAGTCTGAGAGAAGAGAAGGGAGGAGGCGGAAAGAAAAAATCGAATGAAGTTAAAACTTAGGGTTTCGCTCGATCTGGTGTAGCAAGAGCAGCGAAACCGGCTAAAACTCCACCAATCATAACTTGACACGTGTAATAATTATTATTTTAATAATATAATTTAAATATGCGGTTCGATCCCATTTTTGGCAGTTTTTGGACAATTAAAATCGGTCCAATCCGGTTCAAGGGTGGTTCGGATGATTTTTTTACCGATTCTTCAATTTTACAGCTTAAAAACCAAACCAAACCACCTTAAACGGTTTGGTTCGGCCGGTTCGGTCGAGTTTTCGGTAATAATGTGCAGCACTATATTAATTTGTCCAATTTCAATTAACGTCAGGTAAAATGTACCAAACATGCATCTTGTTCCGGCAGACCAATGAGGGCGGTCGTCATGGATTTTTGCCCCGGAGGACCTTGTGCATCGGAGCCGGCACATTTCGACCTAATCGGAACTGCATTTGGTGTCATGGCACGTCCTGGCCAACAAGAGAAACTACGCGATGCCGGAGTGTTACAAATTCAGTTTGCACGGTACATGAAACCCAATTTTACATTTGCAAAATTTGGTAGATTATTTATTATACATTTTGGACTAGATTAATTTGTGTTTGTTTTATTGTCCATGGCCATTTGCCAGTGTGGCATGTGACTATTCAGGAAAAACCATTGCATTCCACGTGGACCAGGGCTCAAACTCAAACTATTTTGCTGCTGTGATTGAATTTGAGGAGGGAGATGGTGATCTTGCTGGTGTTGAGTTGAAGGAGGCTTCCTCATCGGACGATGGTGATGAATGGCGTACCATGCAACAATCATGGGGTGCAGTGTGGAAACTTGATGCGGGCTCAGAATTGAATCCTCCATTTGTCAATAAGGTTGACATCTCAGTATTCAGCCCAAACTTTGCTGGTCAAAGATGTAATTCCAGTTGTGTGGAAACCTGGTGCCACCTATAGATCCTTGGTCAATTATCTATGACCAAGTCTCTACCCTATAATAATAATAATAATAATGAGATTTTCTATTTAAATCCCGCACTTCTCTTTGTTCACCTCAGTATTTAAATCATTAAACTGTAAGTTTTATTATTGTGTAAAAAGACAAAAAAGGTCATCCAACTTAATATTTAACCCTTTTTTTTTGGGTCAAAAATATTTAACCCTAGTACATCTATACACACACCTCACACACCCCACCACTCTTCATATTAAGTTTTAGAAAAATACGAACTCATCTACATCCAATTGCCAGAATACTCTACTCTTTTAAAGACGTAAAACATTGAGGAGCCTACCTCTTTAAAATCTACGTGGAAGCTGATGGAAAATCTCTTTTATTTCTTATTTTTTCAGCTTGGGGTGTATTTAAGGGTATTTTGGGAAGATAGTAGGGTTTTCTTAGAAATTGTGAAAACTTAAATTAGAAGTTGGGATGAACTTAGAACATGGGGTGAACAAAGAGAAATGTGGGGTTTAAATAGAAAATCTCATAATAATAATAATAATAATAATAATAGGATATATATGAGCCATGAAATATGTATTAGTAGAATAAAACCAGGAAAATGTGACCAAATTCTATAATTATAATTGAAAGTCCAGCTGGTGCACATGGTAAATCTCCAATCGCCTACTTAAACATGACGTCCTGCAAAGAAAAACAAAACGTTACAAGAATTACCAAAAGGGCATCCGTCTCTTGACCAAGAGCTCGAGAAATAAAAATTGAAAAGGAAAGTATTCTGAACTAAGATTCAAATCTCAAGCATATGGCATCAAGGGAAAAGGGAGAGACTCTCAGAAACAATATAAATGAATGGCATGGGAGTGAGAGAGAACTCCTATTATGTCACCTCATCGATTTTCATGAAGTAGCTGAAGAGAAATTATTAGGAACATTCACAGTCACTCATCTCCATTGGCCTCTGAGAAATTTTCCTAGTATTAGGATTCACGGACTCACACTACGGAGAAAAGTGTGTGTATCATGATGAGTGTGCACTCACTTTCGCTTTGTCTTTCTCATCACATTATGCTTACCACATTATTTTAGTTATATAAGCACCCTTGCATGCTTCCCACGTGCTATAATTCAAGGACGCACTATCAAGAAAAATGTAGTTCCAAATGTGACCAAATTCTGCAATTCTAGTTGAAATTCCAGCTTGGCTGAATACTTAATCCCGACCTGCAAGAAGATGAAAAAAAAAATACAAGAATTACCAAATCAGTCCTTACCAGAATTGTATGTCTTCAACAAAGAAAAAGTGAAAAGGAAAATTTTCTGAAATAGTTAGTGATTATCGAATTTATCCAAATCTCGAGCGTCTGGTATGAAGAGAAAAGGGAGAGACCCCCATAAACAATAGAAATGAGTGGCTTGGGAGAGAACTCCTATAATCTCACCTCCTCAATTTTGATGAAGAAGATGAAAAGAAGTTATGAGGAACCCTCCCAGTCACTCATTCTCATTGGCCTATGGGAGGCCTATCTCCCATTTCAACCCAACCAATTCTAAGAGTGCGTTGTGGTCATAGGACTAGGATCCTGAAAATACCTGTAGGATGATTAAAAATGCCTAGAGGGGGGTGAATAGGCTAATTCGAGTTTATTAGCAATAAATAACAATAGACTTTCGAAGCAGGATTGATATGGGTTATCAATCCTGAGATGTGCAGAGCTGAAAGTCTATTGTTATTTATTGCTAATAAAAGAACACGCAGATATTTATTTTACATGGTAAAACCCCACCTCTGGGGAAAATCCACGGGACTCCTTAGTCCAGAACAAATCTGTCATATCCCGGGATCACTCCGCCGTAGCACGATATTGTCCGCTTTGAGCCCCCCTCTTTGCCCTCGCAATTTTGTTTTTGGGAGCTCACGAGCAACTTCCCAGTGGGTCACCCATCCTGGGATTGCTCTAACCCACAATTCGCTTAACTTCGGAGTTCCCAGGACTTCGAAGCCAATGAGCTCCCAAAAGGCCTCGTGCTATTTGGAGACGGGCATGTACATATAAGGTACATCACCCCCTCTCTGTTGGTCGATGTGGGATATCACAAAATCCACTATAGAATTGAAATTACAAGAGGTACTCACACGCTTATTCTAGACTCAATCTAGATAAAGTTTACCGACTTCTGTCTAATTCAACTTCTGTCACGAGATGATCTTCAACACTCCTTACGTTGAACGCAATACTGGTCACGATTACTTCAAGCTCACCGGAGGATAAACGTCACAACGATTTTGGTGCCCTCAACCATATGAGTCACCAACATGCATATGTATGCAGTTATGAATGATGAAAGGATTCAATAAATCACCAAGCAACAAAAGAGCACTTGATGATTTACTGAAGAAAATAAACATAGCAGCTTTTGCACAAACAGATCCAATATGCTCTAAAGATTAAAACGTCAAAAGCCACTGAATGAAAGGAGCCAATCGTGCTTTTATTCAAAACAGGGAGAGAAACCCATGTGTCCACAAGTGTTGTGCAACTACAACTCTAAAACATATTCAAACTATGTTTATTAGTTAAATTATTAAAGTTGAACATTTAATGCTTGAGTGTGATTGATCATATTTTTAATTTCTTTATTGCTATTGCCTCAGACTTGTTGTGGTGATTGTTTAGATTTTTATTGTCATTAGTTCTGTTTAATATAAAATTTAAAACTCTAGAAATCTTAAAAAGACAAAAAAGAAAAATGAGACATAGCTCAAAGTCTAAAAAAGATCTTTAGAAAAACATTTTCTTAAAAAAAATCAATGCTTAGTTTATTAAAAAAAAAAAAAACTACAATTTCAGTTATTAATGTGTGCACATGGGCACACTTAAGATTTTTGCCCTGGGCCTTGGAGAGCTCAGGACCAGCTCTGTTGCTAGTATACCAACTACCGATTGTATCCCTTTAACTTGTATATCCATGGCAATTGCTATCTCCCTCTCCCTCTCTAGACGAACCTTCATCTCCCTCAGGAATTGTAATTCACCATTCTGATTCCGATTTTCAAAGTAATAATAATACTCTTTGAACTTTCTTATCCAAGCAGGAGCAGCAACTGGTCCCAACATTACCCACGATGCACGGGCAATGGCGGATGCAGTATTGTGTCGCCATGGGATCATAGTGTAAAGTCTCGAAATTTTGTCAAGAAGAAAATAACACTAAAAAATACAAGTTGCCTCTACTCATCATCATCGCCCAACCAAATTTGATGCTAGGGCCACACATTGCATTTTTCTTGGTTACCCATATGGTACGAAGGGTTATCAGGTTTATGATCTTAATACGGGCAAAATTTTTATTTCTCGGGATGTTATCTTTCATGAAACTATTTTCCCTTTTCCGTCTTCCGCTACCGACTCTTCTCTTGTCTTCCCAACCTCTCATCCCACCAGTTTTGATGATGCCCCAACTCCTGGACTTAATTCTCATAGTTCGCAGTCTCCAGCGCCTGACCTTGCGCTGGAAGCACTTCCAGCACCTGCCCTTGAGCTTCCAGCGCCTGACCTTGCGCTTCCAGCACCTGATCATGCATTTCCAGTACCTGATCTTGTGCTTCCAGCACCTCCACCTCTTCTTGCACCGGTGTCTCCACCACTGCTCCGGCGTACCACCAGGCCTAGTTATCTTCAGCAGTATCATGTCAACATCAAATTACCTTCCCGGTCTCTCCCATCATC